CTGTCTAATTATCTTATGTTATGGCCGTACATGCGCTGTGCACCGGAGACCTGCATGTGGCTGCTGCGCCGCGGCTTGTATTTGAGTGTGGCGTGTGTGTAGAAAACCTTTTTTTTTTTGTTGGTGCGGCTTATATTGAGGTGCGCTCTATAGTCCAGAAATTACGGTAGTTAAGTTGTTGTAGTAGTGAAACAGTAGCAATGTGTAATAGTGAAGAATTTACTGAAATAGACTTGAAAATTATAGACAAATGTTTAGAGAACAACTCAAGTTCTGGTTCTTAATGCCATCAGTGTTCTTAGATTTGTGAAACAATGACCTCCATTTACATCGCTCATAGCTTGACAGAATGTATGGGTTCTTGAGGATTGACTTGCCTCTCAGTAAGATAAAAGATCAACTTTACTCATATTTTGAATACATATGCAGTGGTTTCTAGTAGGAATGAATGCCTTGTAAATTGTTGTCTGGGGTATAAAAAGTTCTGGATGTCCTTTGGTCAGCCCGAGAGGACACTAGTTTCAGACGGCAGAATTTTGAGTCTTATTTGCTGATATTTGGACATCTCGCCCCTGATTTGCAAACAGCAACGTTACTCTACCGCTGACTCTATTTGCTCTGCAACGTTGATGTTTGATCTCAACAAGTAACACAAGTCTGGAGGAGTTTTGCTGTGTGGTGGAGTTGCTAATGCTAATGCTAGCTTCTTCTAACTGAAATGTTTTCTGCTGTTTCCTGGATGCCAAACCAACAACAGACTTCCCCATCTTGAGTCAAGATGAGTGAGTCCATGAATGTTAAGTGACAGTGTGACGTTGATCTGTCAGGCTTTTGAATCCTAGAGTTTCAACATCTATTTTCTATCAAAAGCTAATGTAGGACACTATTTTCTTTTTCAGCCTGCATGAAATGGTGTGACTGATCATTTAAAAAAATAATAAGTAAAATTAGTTTTCTCAGTGAACTTGCTCTTTAGGATGTTCCCACTTGATGGACCCCAAGCTACACCCATCTAGGTGCATCCTGCAACTTTGAGCTGAGTGACGTTTAGACATCCACCAATCATAATCACTCTTACTCAGAAGCAGACCATGAGAGATTGTTGTGTTCCTGATTTCATTCGCTATCTGATGCGTCAATCAACAACAAACTGCACAGCAATTGGTTCAAGCTGCACACATGAGAATACAGGGTGGCATTTTTGACTAATCAGCCAATATTTGAAGATTTTGCCCCAGTAAGGGTGGTAACCCTTCCTTTGTTGGATTAGGTAAGATGTTGATCAAAAGTTTGAAGCTAATATGAAGACGCTGAGACGTTATGGTGGGAAAAATATGCATCTGGAGGAAATGTTGAAAGTTTTCAGTGGTACATTATGCTGAATTGCTGATTTAAAAACTTGTTGTGGAAAAATTATTTTAGGGTACTTTTACTGGGTTCTTGTGGATATAAAAGGACGGTTTTTATTGAGAAGTTTATATTCTAGTAATGTTTGGAGGCTTTAAACTGTGAGTTAGACATTATTTTGGACTTGGTTTGACACAAGTGTTTATTGTCTCTATTATGCCTATATCCTTCAGTGGCAAATCTATAGAATCACAAGAATCATAACCTTCTTACCCTGCATATTATGTGTATGTACATAGAAGGGTTAGGGTTACAAACCCTGCAACAAAAGAAGTACATAATGTCCCATCTGCGAGACAAATTCACAGGCTAAAAATAATATTGCTCAACAAAAACAATCGCCCAACATTAGTAGCAATTGTCTTGTGTTTATAAATTTAAGTTATTGACATTTATTGAAAGAAAGGGTTTTTTTCTTTAAAAAAATAGTCCTTCAATTCAAAAGCTATGTCAGAAAGTATTCCTAAAATGTTCTTCTCATAGTTTAGCTGATGTCAGTCACTAAACATTACAGTGATTTTTTTTTTACAGTGCAAGCAGCTGTGAGTAAAATAAGGGCTGGGAATAGGTGGTGTGTGTGTGTGTGTGTGTGTGTGTGCGGGCGCGTGTGTGTGTGTGGTTGAAACGAGTATATTCTCGTCAGAAGCAGAGGCTCCTCATGTCTATCAACAGTCATGTTTGTGTGGTTGCAGAGGAACAACTATGTCACTGTTCCAGAATAAACCCTGTCCTCCCAGTCCTCATCCCTTGTGGGTTGCGCTTGACTTCCACCGTTTTCACAGCTGCTCTCAGCAGTGCACTCCATTACACCTTAAATCACTTAAAAGATCTGAAGTACCAAAAACTCCCTCTGCAGCTAATTCACCCTGACTGTGCGGATCATCTGGAGAAAATAAGAGTGTGAAAACATCTGATTCAATCCTATGTTATCTTTAAATTAGAATCTATTTACGTCTTAAATAGCCACTATTAAACCAACTCACATAATGATGCTTTAGCACAGTTTTCAGAGATGCTGCAGAGCAAAACACCACGCAGATAAAAATAAAGATCTCTCATTCACCACCCAGTCAACCACTTCTTGAAAATGTACGCAGATCCGCTCCGACTGAGGCAGATTCCTCTTTGTTGGGTATCCAAAAGCAGCCACAGAGATTAGGCTCGATAAATGAGGAGGGATAAGTGGGACTTGTCCTGTGTTTGGTGGCACAGAGCAGAAGACACACAGAGGCATGACACGCAGCTGCACAGAGCTATTGATTCTCCACCAGTCTCCAGGCACCCTTCCCCTTCATTCAGGCTGCCTGCCAAGTGCCTCAGAACAGGAGCCCCTGCTCTCCCAATGTCTGCACGTCTGCTTAAGCACAATCAATGGGCCATCAGCAGGGGAGAATGCCTGTCTTTACTTACACAGGGTGTGAGTATGGTAAATTGAAAATATATGTTAGAAGAAAGGCATCATGATTCCACGGAGGCATAAAAGCATCATTGACTATCAGAATAAAATCAAATGCTTTGCCTTGAAGTGCAGGTTTTGGCCATTAGCTGCCCTGTTGGTTTTTGGGGAAGCTTATTTATGTCTGAATGAAAAGACTGATTCATTCGTATCCTTATAAATAACTATTTATCGGATGCAGATCAATTTTTCTTCATGCTGGGCTCTGAAACAAACCATTACTCCCGATCAGGTGAGCTGTCGAAGGATACAGTAGGAGAGGGGTACAAATATATTTTCCAGACAATGATGAGCATGATTCAGCTCTACAGGTAGTCATGAGATACGCTTTTCTAAAAGCAGACCTTGGGACGATGATGGATCATGAGAAAGGGACAATTTTGCTCCTGGGTGATCAGCATTCAGCTGCTCCACCGGTGGTCCACTATGCAGCATTCTGCACCACTGGAAGACTTGAGTTCATGTTGCAGATCTGTCAGCCAGCTGTCACAGCTCACAATGAAGAGACAGAGATGTCCCCATTACCAAGGACATCTCAGTTTCGTTCTCGCACACAAAACATCTTTTTCAAATCCATCTCGAGCAACACAAAAGGCGGTCTCAGATTCTTAATCCAGCAATAGCTTTGCAATAAATAAATAAATAAATAAGATAAATAGTGTAGCTTCTCACACAACTCTCACATCACATCTTCAAATCTAAATTGGAAGCATGTCCACACACTTGAGGTGGCAGCTTCAAATCGTGCATATAACTAATTACATGCTCACTGGTCATTTGCAGGGTGGGTTTGACTGGTGTTAAGTGAGCGGGGTGGGGGGTGGGGGTGTATGTGCCATTAAGAGAACAGAACATCCACTACCTCAATGTCACAATAAGAGCAGATCGAGAGAAAGCTGATGTGAACACCTTTTAATAACAGCAGAGATTGTTATAATAAAAACTACTACGCCGCCTGCAGAGCTGAGGGAGCCGAGCTGCGTCAATGCAGCTGGGGCTGACAAAAATAAGAAAGGATGTTGTTTGTTTAGCAAAGATCAGTTAAACCAAAAAAAAAAGGTTACAACAGAAAGAAATTCTAATTCACAGCATTTCGCTTCACAAATCTCACATCCTGTTCTTATCCTGCACACACCTGCAGAAAAAAACTACGAAAATATGCTCACTAACATCCACTGGCAATTTGTTTTGCATGTTTGATTTCTGATGTGGAGACTTTGAAATGAAGCCATTATGTTGAAAAGAACTCATTTGTGTGTCATCATCAGTGTGAGGAGTATGGGGAGGAGGCAGAGGAGGAGGAGGGGGGGGGGGGGCTGCAGATTTACAGTTGCGGCAGTGAGGAGTCAACCTTAGAAATGTGAAGCAATTCAAGTAAAACCAATTCAAATAGAAATGTTCTTAGAGTTAAAAGTTTTCATTCTCGTAGAAAACCAAAGTGTCCTGGGATCTGTCCTGGAGCAAATAATGGTGATACAGCCTAATAATAATAATAATAATAATAATAATAGACACACTGAGCAGGAGAATAAGTGAGTGTGTTCATCAGTAAGAATGAATGTGATGTAACTGTTTTATGCTTCATCAGCACACAGAGCAGCTGATCATAAAATTAACAGTCAAATATTTACAGTACCTCTGAAGGGAGAGTGAGCTGAGGATGAATGAGCTGCAGAGGGGTGGGGGTGGGTGGGGGGGGAGCTGTGTGAGAGAGAGTTGCGCCTTTTTTTGGCTGCATTTGCGGCACGCGCTTTTGGCCATTTATGAGATTGTAACAAGAGACATTTTATTTATTTATTTATTTTTACTGGTAGACCTTGGACGGTTCGATGTGTTAAACTTTCCAACCAGCCTACAAAAGACCCTTGAAAACGTTCATGGACGTAGATAGACCTTCAATATCATAAGAGGTGCAGGCTCATTGATGCGCTACGAAGCTTCTGCTGCTCCCTGATTGGCTGAGAGCTGCTAGAGGCCGTTAAAAACCCAATCAATGCACACCTGTGGCAGTAATCAGTAGGGGGAAAACAATTTGTGCAAATGATCATAATTAAATTAAATCGTCATCAAACACACATGTGAGGAGGTGACTTTTAGCTTTAGAGGGGATATTTAGGAGCTGGTGAGGCCACCTTACCCCAGTGTTGTCATGGTGACGATGGTGTACCAGAACGCAGCAGGGATGCTGGTAAACTTGGTGGCTGTGGAGCCTTTCTCTGCATAAAACATGACCGTGGCGAAGATGATGATGGCCATTGTGAGGGAGAAGAGGAGGAAGCCCAGCTCGGACGCACAGCTCTTCAAAGTGTAGCCCAGAATGCGCAGTCCCGCGGAGTGCCGGGAGAACTTGAAAATCCGAAAAACCCGGAAGACTCTGAGCGTGACGAAAGCCCCGCTCACCTGGTCATTGTCGGTCATCACCAGGCCGATGTAGTAGGGCATGATTGCGACCACGTCGATGACGCTCATCACGCTCTTCATGAACTTGCAGCGGCTCGGCGCTGCGATCAACCGAAGCAGATACTCGACCGTGAAGATCATGACGCACGCCGTGTCCAAACAAAAGAAAGCCAGCGCGTAACGAACCCCACAGGACACTTCTTTCGACCTGTTGGGCAAAGTCCCGCACGGAACCGTCTCCACCACGTTGGCCATCACCGAGATGGCTATGAAGAATCCTGTCACATAGTAGAAGACAAGCGCCAAGGTGCTGGTGTGGGGGTTTTCAAAAGCCCGCCACAGGTACTCCCGGAACGTCAGATTCACCGGCGTGACGTCATTGTTCATGTCCATCTCCTCGTCATCCTGAAGCCTCTCCGCATTCTCGCGCCTCCGGTCCTTGTACTCCTCATAGCAGCAGTCCCCAATGATCTCGGGGATGATGCCGAAGAACGCGAGCTCCTCGTCGTACGCGGAGATGCACTCCTGGCGTGGGTAGTGCAGCTTCCCCGTGCGGTAGAAATTCAGGATGTGCCTGAAGATGTCGGGGTCACGGTCGAAAAAGTACTCGTTCGTCTCCTCGTGGAAAAAAAAGTCCCTCTCAGTGCTGCCGAGCAAAGTGTCCGGGTAGCGCTCCAAAGTGGTCCGCCACGTTTGAAACTTGGTCCCGCTCACGTTGAGGATGATGAGTCCGTCCTGGGCTTTCCTCTTGTCTTGGGGAGGGATGGGCATCGGGGTGCTGGCCACGGGCATCCATCCTATGGCCGCCGCTCGGGCGAAGGGAAGCCATGCCGCTACACCTGCTGCCATGCTGACCTGTAGTGTTGAATACGGCCCTTCTCCGCGTTTCACAGTGCTACGGCTCCGAGATCAATGACATCTGCAGGAGGAGAAACACACTGATCATTAGGAGCTTCTCATTTTATCACAATGTGCTTTTAAACAGAAACCCACCAATTGCGCATAGCTCTCACTCGAGCCTTTTCCAATCTCCGCGCAGTTACCGTTCAGTTAAAGAAGACTACTTTGCAGCAGCATTTTAATTTGATTAAAATAATCAACATTTTTTCATTGGAAAAAAAGACCCACCTTAAAGAATGCTGCTCATTAAACTGCATCCACGGTGAGTTTAGTGTAATCCCCGGAGCAGATCACCAGCCATCTATTACTCACTGCAGCCAGACGTTAAGAAAGAAGAAGAAGAAAAAAAACACGGCGTTGAAACGATGCATCAACAAGTTAAACAATTCAAACGGTGGACTCTGAGCAGAGAGCGGTCAGGTGTCCGTGCGTAATCCCTTCCTGCCTCTCCTCCTCATGTGCAACGGTTGTATTCCCCCCCACCCCTTTCCCCCTTTTTCTCTCCTCTCTCGTTGCAGCTACTCCTCAATAAACTCCTGTTCCTTTCGTCGACTGCAAGACCACCCTTTCCCCCTCCTCCCCTCTCCTCCCTCACCAGCAGCTCCGACAGTGGAGAGATGAGAGAAAATCGCATGCAGAGAGAGAGAGAGAGAGAGAGAGAGAGAGAGAGAGAGAGAGAGAGAGAGAGAGAGAGAGAGAGAGAGAGAGAGAGAGAGAGAGAGAGAGAGAGAGAGAGAGAGAGAGAAGTGGTCCTATCTGCACCCAGAAATTCCCCTGCTGCCTCGCTGTGTGGGGAACTATTCAATGCGTAACCACGGTCTCAAGTAGGCGGTAGCTCCTAAAAATAAATAAATAAATAAACGCTCAAGTTGACGCTCGTGTTTCCCGCATGGCTCACCACCAGCTGCAGACATGACACATTTTGCATACAATCTAAGCAGTGAATCGCGTTTTTGTAGAAGATTTGGGTTGAAACTGGTTTATACAGACACATTTGGTCAAAGCAGAGGGAAAACATTTGCCTCCTTACAGATTTGGCTGTTTTTGTTGCTTCTAGTCAAATGTAAGGGTTTCCAATCAACAAGCACTTTTCAGTATCAGACTAATATCACTCAATGAAGTTCTAAATACAGGAATAGTTGATTGATCTATTGATCCTTTTTTATTTTTTATTTTTACTTTTAAAAGTATTTTCCAAAATAATCAATGAAACGTAGGTGCAGGTCAAAGACAGCTGTGACTTCTGGGAAGCAAAGAGCGTGGACTGCTTCAGGACCATGGACAGCTCCAGATCTCTCAACACTGAGTCTGTTTCTGGTGAAATCTGAACAAATTCTAGCAAAACATTTCAAACCAATTTCACTCAGAATCGTTCATCTAAGCAAGGTTTGTCACATTTCAGTGTTTTCACATCAACAAACAAATTAAAATGTGTGTATTTATTTAAATGCTAAAAGCAAAAATGGGGATTTCATTCAAGAAAAAAGGCACCCAAACCAATCGACCTCTGAAGTTTATGACAGGTTGGAGCATCCTAGGAGGCAACAACTGCAATCAAGCATTTGTGTTAATGAGTCTCTAACATCACCATGAGGATTGTTATCCTACTTGTCTTTACAATGTTGTTTTAATTGGAGGGTTTTCATACAGAAAGTCAACAGCTGGATTTTCTCCTTCAGGATTTTCAGGTGAAGAAAATAATTGATGCTTCCATGAAAGTGGGCACTAAAACAGTCCCAGACCCTCACACTTCCTCCACCATGAGGTTATTTTCCTGTAGTGTTAGTTTCCTACCAGATTTAAAGGGACAAACATCTTTCAACAATTTACACTTTCATAAATATGAGATGTTCCTTTGTGTTTTTTTGGGTAAACAGAGTATTTAGACTTGGAATTCTCTCGTGGGAGCCATTTTTGTCCTGCATCATTTTACTCTAAACATGTGATACTTTAAATGATGTTCTTGGTGTGTTGCTTTTAGAAGTCTTTAAGCCTATTTAATGTTGTCAAACATGTTCTAATGAAGTTATTTATTAGTTCCTCATGGCCGAAGCTACTGGGCTTGGGTGTGGTTACCGTGAAATTGAAACGAGCTTCCCAAATAATGTGGTTAATCATAGTTAACTCGGTTAAGTTAAGACCACGATTGTTTGAAAACAATGTCTCTCTTAATAAATGAAAGCATCACTTGAAAACTACATTTTGTTCTCAATCAGATTATGATATTAGCATTCAAATCTGACAAAAGAGCAAATACTGGATATTTCTGAATGCTAATTCTTCTCCTTTCATTCATTTTCATGTAAACCCTTTAAGTTGTATTTTAAAACTCATTATTCCTATGGACCAGCACAAATGTGTTTCAGATCTGCAACAAATCATTGATCAATACTGTTTTCTTGAACTTCATTGTTCTCTAATATTGTTGAACAGCTTCAAAGGTCAACATCATTGGATTTCACCACACCTCTGACATTTTCCAAAATAACTATAATCAATGAAAAGCGTGTGCTCCTCATACATAACAGTGCCTGTTGAAAACAGCTGTGACCATTGGGAAACACAGAGAACGTTGGTTTCCCCTCCAAATATTTATTTATGTCCACACTGAGCCTTATGTTCTTGTGTTAACAGACGGATGGTTTCAGGACCACGGACAGCACCGGAGTGCTCAGCATTGAAGCGTCAGTCTTCTGAGTAAATCTGAACAAATTCTGGCTAAACGTTTTAATCACATTTCCCTCTGAATCAGTTTTCATCTAAACAAGGTCTCTGAGTCAGACTTAAGTAGACATGGAGCCACTGAGGCTTATGAAAATGGATGGCCAGTCAAGATGAGGTGTGGAAAATGCACTGCAGCTGTTGCTCTTATTTAAAGTACTGTAATTTGGAGCAAATAGAGCTCCCTGTTTGCCCCCCACCCCCAGGACAGTTTGACAGTGAAACTGGCTGCTGATGGACACATTAGATGCTGCTGCAGTCAGATCTTTGGCCTTTTGCACTCAAGATTCCCTGCCAGCTCAGAAATATCACACCAGTGTTCTGTCCCCTCTGGCACAGTGTTGTGTGTTATTTATTTATTTATTTATTTATTTGTAAGATGAATGCGCGGGACTGTCAGAAGTGCCGTTAGTGTACGCTGAGTGTGTCAGAGCACGCTTAGTGTTCAGTTGCAGCAGTTTGGCCCAGGAGCTATGTATTCATCGGGGCATTTAAATATTCCAGTGGTTGCCAAGTGGCACCAAACAGAAGCAATGCCCACTGAGTTTGATGGCAGAGCAGCAGAGAGTTTTTCAGATCACAGACAGATTCACATTGTGCAGTTTGAGCAAAGCAATTTGCCACAATATGCTTAACTTTTAACAAACCAGCTGATGATTTTGTTTGGCATAATGAACATCCTTGTTTTATCAGGTTCAGAAACTATGGTTTGTTTCTGCTGCATCCATTTGATCTCAGTTGGCTCTAAACAAATGGGAAACATATCATTATTCCATCCCATGTTCCTGAAACAGCAGTTCTGTTTGTGATTCAACGTGTTCTAGAAAGAGACACGGTGAGAGGTGCTGACATACTTTATGAACTCACTGATCTCCAAGGATGAGCCACAAGGTCATTTCAGATGAATTGGGTAGATGTGGAGCCACACAGATGACTTAATTACATTGTCTGTGTGTTTATGGATTTAGTCTTCGGATCTGATAATTAGCGTGTGTCCTTAACAAGGTTGAGCACCTGCAATAGGATTGAATATTTGATCTTAGAATCCGCCTGTGTTTAGAAATTATAACTTTTCAGGGAAACACTTAAATATGAAGAAAAATAGGAATAAAACCAGTTCCCGATCATCCACATAAATGCTGTCTTCATGTAGAAGTGGACCACTGACCTAAGTCTGAAGCCCTTTGGGATTTGTGGGGTTGTGTAACAGGAGGGATTTTGTAAACAGGCCTGAGTGTTCTCAGTGTTGTAACACAAAGACAAGCGCCCAAACAAACACAAAATACCCATAAATACACACACTGTCTGTGTGATAAAGCTTCAGACATTCTCGCGGGCTCTCTCTCTCACACACAGGCATATTTTTGCACTTGATGCATAGACAGTAGTAGACTGTCCACTGTGTACACTAAAGCAGCCCACGCTGCAGCCTGTTGTCTCTTCTCAGTATTTAGTTGGGTTCAACTCATTGATTGAGATGATTAAAGAAATGAGGAGCCTTCACTGGAAAGCAGCTAAGGCCCTTTGGAGAAGAGGCTGATGGGTGCAGACTACGTTTGATTTGAGAAGATTCACATAAACTGAGATTACTGAGATTATCTCTTAAATTGAGGACATAAATAACAAGAGCCTGATGAATCATCCTCTGCAAAAATACTCGCTTCAACGATTGTGTTTAAAGACTATGCTTTCCAAAGACTTGCTGGAGAACAAAGCCCTTGTTTAACCTCCTAATAAACTTTATTTATTTGTAGCACTTGAGCAAGATGCAGGTTCATGACAGGCAATAAGAGGCTAATAAATAAAAGACAAAAGGATGGGAGATAGAAACCCTAGAAAGGGATGAGAAAAAATGTTGGAGGAGACTACAGCAGGCCAAGTCTATGGAGAATCTTATTTAGGGTTATGAAACACTCTGGTGGGTTTCATGAAAAGCTGCTAATGAAGTCATGAATCGTCCTCGTGACCTCACAAAAGCCTTTGCTGATTTCTGCAGGTGAACAGCTAACAGTCGAGCAGCCCACCTCCCACCACGTCATCTCCCTCAGCTGCCTCTGCCTTTCCTCGGCTCTAATGAGTTATTGACCCCCTGCGGATGTGTAAAATAGAGTAGGTCCTCATGGTTCTTTATTGCACACGGCAGCTGGTGTGTTTGTGCCTACTCGTGTGCGTGTGTGTGAGTGTGTACACAAACACGTAGTCCTGTGTAATGCTGTTGATATGCATGCTTGTGTGCTGTGAGCTGCAGGGAAGGGAGTCGCCTGCAGTGGAAAGCTGGCGCTCTGAGAAAGGTGTGATTTCTTTCATTTCTGTCAGAAATGCTCGGATGATGTGTAATTTATACACTGCTGGTTAATATCCAATATAGCAAAAATTTACTAGATTTGGGGGCTATTTTGAAATGTGTTTTTGTCAAATCAAATCTGAATAACTACTATCTTTAGATAGATTCCTGAATGGCCTCAGTCCAAAAACATAGATTTTACATTCTTCACAATTGAGGAGCTAACAGCATGTTCAACAGACAAGAATGAAGCATTTAGCATATGATGTGATGTCAGCATTTACACTAACATAATTTTTTATTGCATAGTTTTTATGTGGATTTCTGTAGTCATTAACAAGTATCTCCAGTGCTGCACCTCTGGTTCATCCAGTAGACAAGTCTTGAAGAATATTGAAAATATTTCAGTCAAAATGTCGGTGTACTGTAAAACCGAACTGTGCAAATAACATAAGAAAGACCAAGCCATACTAAACCCAAGTCATCATCCAGCTCCTGCTGCAGTCTGCAGTCACATCTGCCTTCATAACTTGGCTC